CTCTTTTCTCTTTGCAAATATAAACGTCACCTTCCAAACTGTACTGTCCCGGGGGTGGCACTCCCGGTGTGCACGGTGCCCTGAGCCCCGGGGACCAGCCAGGCAGGAAGACTCTGCCCAGGAGTTTCAAGAAGGGGCAGAAGGGGCTGCGGTTCTTAGGGCAAAGGGCGGCTCTTCCCTCTTTTCTCTTTGCAAATATAAACGTCACCTTCCAAACTGTACTGTGACTCCAATGGAAAAATCTGGAACTTTTTTTTTCCCTGGTTGTTGTTGTTGTATTGTATTTTTCTCCAAGCAAGGGTGCCAGTGCAACTCGCCCTGTAGCGCAAAGGGACCCAGAAAGGGAGAAGAAGATAAAATGAATTTAAATTCCAAAGGGGTTTCAGTGCTGGTTTCCTAGTCCCCGAGTCAGCAATGTGTTTGTGAAAATTCAGCCTTTTTGTCTCTCAGAAAAAAGGGCTAAATCTACATCGGTGGCCCAGTCTAGGTTTGCTATTCTTTGCATTTTCTATTCAAGTGAATGAGAGTGAATGAAGTGGCCTGGGACCCTTTATTTGATCTACTCAATTGCATAAAGTGACAGAATTCTAATATATTTGTTTAATGCTCTTCAATGGGGCTTTCACTTTCTAGCTTGCAAATGAAGCCTCGATCTGCAAAGTTTTGTCCTTTTTTTCTTTCTACCTTTTTTTTTTCCTGGCAGAGAGACCATATTTCATAACTTGGGCTACGGTTTGAAGTGATTTCAAGAGGAGTTTTAGACTCGAAAAGTGGGAAATAAAGAAACAGATGTGAAGTTATTGTAAATTCTTATAGTGGGCTCTGGGGCTATTGTAAACCCACTGCAGGCGGTCCAAAGCCTCTCTTTTTCATGCTGTAATTGAAACATATTAATTAGATAATTTGTTGTTAGTTTAAAAGAAACAAATACAGCCCCTCCAAGGCTTCACAGCCTCGGCTTCTTTTTGTTAACAAAAACAAAACAAAAAAAAACCACAACCAACCCACAAAGTGACATTTATATTAAGATTCCGAGATAATTCGGCGCTGAAGTTGATGAAGCTGCTAAGTTTTTTCTCCCTTTCCCAAGGACCACTTTTGAAAAAAGTCTGGCTCATAAAACTCCCTCTCAGGGGTCGCCGGGGAGTTCTTTTCTCCCTACCTGGCACAGACCGCCCTTCCCTGCAAGGCGCGGTTCGAGAGAAAATAAATATTCTGAGTGAGAAGGAGCTGGCTGTCTTCAATAGAGGATTCAGTCCTGTGGGGTGGTGTCTTGTCACATGTCGAGGAGAGAGAAAACAAAACAAAACAAGACCACAAAAAAAAAAAAAAATCGCACACAAAAAACCCAAAACGCTGCCGAGAAAGGATTCACACACCATGCGCTGACATGAAGCAAACCCCCGAGCCCGGCTGGGTTCTCGGGCTTACCTTGCGCAGCCGGGCTCCAACCCATCCTCCGGAAGAAAAGAGCTTTTGCCTGAAATCAACGGTGTCTTTGCATTAAGTACGCCTAGCTTATAATGTCTCGCTGGCAAATAAAATTAAAAAAGAAAAGAAAAAAAAAGAATGAACCCCCCGACCCCCCACGAAATGTCTAAGCAGGACAGAGGGCTCGGCCGCGGCTGCTTCCCTCGCCCCCCATCCGCCCCTTCCCTCCGCGCTGTTGTCTGTTGCTCTCTATTTCAGATCTGTGTTTATTGACATTGGACTTGAGCCATTAGGGAGATTTAACAAGTCAAAGCAGTAAATTCAAGCGACGCGCTGAGCTGCGTATTTGTTTGAAATCAGCATCGCAACATTTGGGGAAGCGCGCGGAGATGCGCGGAGGCTCCGCGGGAGGGAGAGGGCGGCTGAGCAGCGGATCCCCGGGCTGGGGCAGTCTCGGGCAATCGCAGAGATAAAGGGGAAAATGGCATTTGAAATGTACGGCGGCGAGTCACACACTCGCATTATGCAGCGAGAAACCTATCGCACCTTTTGAAAGTGTTTTGCTTTGGGGTATAATCGTTTCAGATCTTTATCTCCGCCGATACTATATAGTTTAAAAAAAGAAAATACTCTGAAAGTGCAGCTTCGTCTTGTTAGTCGGGCTCGGATTTAGTCTTGGAGGATTTGTTCTGACTGCTAGATCTTTAAAGGAAAAAAAGGAAGGAGAAAAAGCTTCCTCGTTGTCTAAAAATGTAGGTCATCGCTTGTTTAGGAAAAGTTTGTCGAGTTATGTGTCCATTGATCTGGTGATAAGTTTTGAATGCTTTCTTTAACTGATCGTGTTGATATAATCGTGGGTTGGACTTGATGAATGAGTTCAGTTGTCCCCCATCCGACAAGCTTTAGCAGCTTCATGCATTTTAATCAGCCCAATGATTCATGTATTTTCCACCTTTTTTCTGTGTGTGGGATCCGATCTTAAAAAAAAAAAAAAAAAAAAAAAAAGTGGTCACAACTGGATTAATTGCCCTCTACATTAATCTTAAAACTTTTGCAAGGATCTTGTGGTGTGTAGTAAGGAAATGGGGATGTCACTTACGGTGTTTATGGTCCAGAAATTCAGAGAGATCAGTGGGAGACAAAACCTCTGTAACATCATTGCCGTAGAATTCGTGAATCCTGCCGCTTCATTAGAATACAATGTCGTTTTCTTGCTAGTTAGCACTTCAGTTGTCTTGTAACTGTGCTCGCAGAATGCCTCATCTCCAAGGCATTTATTTACTCATTTCATTAGATGGCTTCTCTAATATTCAACAGTTGCAGAATCCTTGAGAAATCCCTAGCAGATTTGGAGAATCCTACTAGAAAGTGTTCAGAATCAAGTTTTCATTGTAACTACTTTGCCCTTCCTTTTTAAAAGGGACTGTATATTGAATTACCAAAAAACTGGTACAATTGTGTTAAATGTGCAAACTGCCGGTTTGGGAAAGTGTTGATCAATAAGGATGGAGAAATTCTAGCAGTGGTTGAACAAACTTGTGCTTGAGCAGGTTTAAACGCCAGGTAAAAAAGCTCACTTTAACTCAAAAAAAGATTTTGCAATGCCACTTGTGAGAAAAAAAAACACCACTGAAAAAAAAAATCAGTGTTCTCAGTCCCAAAAAAGTAACTGATTCTTTGAAGATTTTTTTTTTTATGTTTGCTCTGTATTGCAGAAGCTTACTGATTTTTACACTTTTTAGAGAAAATGCAGCTGGCAGTGAGGAGGTGATGAGTACACACAGACACAGGCATGAATGTAATACGTGGTTATATTCGGTCTAAGTGTATAGGGCACAAATGCAGGTGTGTGTGTGTGTGCACAGATGTACAGATATAAATAGATGTTAGATGTAAACCCCACAGAACATGTTCTCCCTTTGCTAAACCGGCAATAATGGCAATTCTAGCTAAGAAGTTGTGCTGTATTAATAACTATATTTATACTAACCTCGCGTGAAAAGGCTGTTTAGATTATCTAAATATTGGAATAACACTATTCCTTCAGCATGAACTAGTGTTTTTGCTTTTCTCGTGTAAACTCTTTAAAAAGACAAATAAGAAACTAAATCTGGATTTACATATTTTAATGAGAAAATATTATTTGGACGACTAGGTTCATAATTTAACGTAGACACTTTTTAACCTTTGTCTTAAAACACACATGCTGGGAACAAGAACACCAATATTTAAAATGCCATGCTTATTCTGTACAGGAAAAAAAAGTTTGAAAGAAATGTCCTTACAGTTTCAATAGACACTAATGCTGTTTAGAGGGCGTGTTCTTTTTTTTTCTCTTAACTTAAGCAGTTCACAACAGAACAACAGTTCAGTTTCCAGCAAACTACCTAAAACTAGAAAGGAGTATATCAAACAAAAGTGCATTTTACACATTTTATAATCATTCATATGCACAAACATTTACAGTTTCCTTAGCCCCCTCTCGTCTGCAAAGCTCCAGCAGAAATCAGGATGACCTCCAGAGTTTGTACCTGCTGTTGTATTACTTTTCCACATTTTATCAGTGACTTCAACAGCTTTTCTTTAAGCTATGTCGGGTCGTGTGCTTGGTAACAGGTTTATTTTTATTATAATTATGGTTGTTGTTTGGTTTTAAGCTATGAAGTAAATAGCTACAAAATTTAAAAAATAACAACAACAACCAAAAAAAACCAACAACAAAGAAAACCTCAGCTCCCCCAAACCTTCGGGTTAACCAGAAGTTAACAGACAAGTCAACTCCTCCTTCTCCTTCACCTGAAAACTACAGTAAACATCCACGTTACAACAGGTACTGCAAAAGGGACCTCGTCTGATTTACAGTACAGATGCAAGTTCAGTATTTACATGAACACAGGCGCTTTGTAAACATGATCGGCGTGGCGGTTCCAGGGCGGGTCCCGCTCCGCTCCCCGCCGCTCCCTCGCCCGGGGCCGCCCCAGCCCGCGGGCCCGGCCGGGACCCGCACCCGCACAAAGGACACCGAGCGCTTCCCGGCGTTTCCAAGATCCAAGCCTTTGCTGCTTGGAGGCTGGAAACGTCGCTGCTCTCACGCAGAGACACTGCAGCCATCCTTGTTTGCGGTACTAGAGATTGGTCCTGTATAAACCCCTGCTTTTCCCCAGACAAAAGAAGGGAAAGAGGCATCGCCGAGCCAGGCTTGCCTGGTCGCCGACGAATCGAAGATGCCTGAAGTACTTTTGGAAAACTAGCAATGCAAGTGGCAGCTCCTACCGGGCGGGAGGGGGCGGGCCGGGCCGGTTCCTTTCGCCTCGGAAGAACGGAAAACAAAGTTCAGAACCGGGGGAGAAACCGAGCCGCGAGGGAGGGCTCGGCTGAAGGGGCTCGGCTGAAGGGAGCTCACGCGAACGGCAGACCTCAGCTTCCCGCGGGGAGTTGTCTCTGCTTTCGAGGAAAAGAGTAGAGAGGAGAGGGGAAAGAAGCGAAAGGAGGGAGAGAAGGGGAGGGAGGAGAGCTCCGAGGAAACTTTGGGAGACAGGGGAAGGCAGCGTCCGTGCGGGCGGCCCGGGTCAGTGCACGGCCACGGAGTGCAGGGCGGGCGCCGGGCTGGTGAGAGTCTCGCTGGGGGTGGCCGGGCTGCTTTGGCTGGTGGCCGTCTGCGAGGACGTGGGGCTGAGGGAGGGCGGCGAGTTCGACAGGATGGTGGGGATGGGCGCGGGCAGGGCGGGCAGGGCTGGCACCGCGGCAGGGGTAGGCTTGATGGGGACTGGGATGGCCGGCAAAGTCTGCCCCCCATGGCAGAGCGGTTTGATGGGCACGCCGTAGGCGCCGTACTCGCTGCTGGCCATGGAGATGGGGGTGGCGGTGTCGATCATGCCGGAGCCGTACATGTGGGGCCAGCCCGTGCCAATGGAGCTGCCCACCGTAGTCAATTGATTGGGGAGGGGGTAGGCGGCCGGCATGGGCTGCATCGTGGAAAAGGCGAGGCCCCCGGGCATCTTGTACTCTCTGGCGATGATGTTCTCGATGGCGAAGGGGTGCTTGAAGCTGGAGGGCTGGGACACGCCGAGATTGTACGTGGACATCTGGGGCAGGTGGGTGCCGGTGGCCGCAAGGGCGCTGAGCCGCAGCTTGGCTTGCTGCTGCAGGTACTGCGCCGCGTCCGCCGGCTTGCTGGGGGCCAGGTGGTCCGACTTGACCACCTTGAAGCGCTTGCGGCGGCGCAGGAAGCTGCCGTTCTCGAACATGTCCCCGCAGCTGGGGTGCAGCGCCCAGAAGCTGCCCTTGCCCGGCTGGTCGGGGCGGCGCGGGATCTTGATGAAGCAGTCGTTGAAGGAGAGGTTGTGGCGGAGGGAGTTCTGCCAGCGCTGTGTGTTCTCCCGGTAGTAGGGGAAGCGGTCCATGATGAACTTGTAAATCTCGCTCAGGGGCAGCATCTTCTCCGGGGAGCTCTGGATCGCCATGGCGGTCAGCGAGATGTAGGAGTAGGGAGGCTTCTGATCGCTGTAAGTGTTTCTGCCCGGGCGAGGCATCTTCGCTAGGCGACCCGCGGAGATCTGCAGAAGGGCAGCGACAGGGGGAGGGGGGCGGGAGGAGGGGGTAGAGGGGTGAGTCCGAGAGGATTTGCACGGACACCCAGTCGGGTCAGCCGGTGGCTCTGGGGCCGGGCTGGAGAAAAAAGGACACAGGGAAGGGGCACGGTGGATCTCAGCCCTCGAAACGGGGGACGCGGGGGGTGGGGGTGGGGGAGTGGGGCGCAGATGAGGGCAGGAGAAAACAGCCCAGAGCCCTGTGCCGCCGCGGGGGGAAAAGCGATGTGCTTCTCCCAGCTCCGGCCTCCCTCAGCCTGGCCTTCCCGCAGGAGCCCGCGTCCGTGAAGTTACTCTAGTGATAGCCCTGTCTTCTGGTCTCTGAGAGGATGAAGGGGACCCCATCCCCTCCCCTCGACTCCCACCCAGCTCCATGCCAGCCCCTGCATGTGCCCACCTTAAAGTTGCTGGAAGTTGACAGTCCGCATCCGGGACGCAGCTGGGAGTCCGGACTCTTTCCCACCCCTCTCCTCCGGCGTGTCTCTCGCTCCTTCCGCGGCCACGCTGCTCCGGTTTAGTCCTGAGGAGGCAGCGAGCTGGCTTGGTTTTGGGAATCCTCCTGTACACCCCTCCCTTCGCCTCCGCGGGCTGAATCAGCTTCTTTTACACCACCGGCAGCTGCACTGTAGCAGAGGCTTGTTTGCTTCTCTGCAGCGGCGATGAGCTAACTAGTTGCCTCCATGTCCTTCCTCTAACCATCTGATAGTTTTATGTGGTGACATGAGCAGAAAAGACCCCTGTAGAGGCGCTTCATTAATGTGCCACTTCTTTGCTATCATATGACAATCGCCTTGGGAGCAGGGGGAGGGGAGCAGGGAGGAGGGGGCTGGAGAGAAAGGCATAATCTGGTTTCATTTACACCTATTTACATGGACACCTTGGGCCAATGGGAATCATTTCCATTTGAAGACAAGGCGAGGGGTGAAAAGGCTCCGCCAGCGGAATTGCAGTGCGATGGTACCCGGTGGCTGGGGGTGGGGGGAAGGTATGCACTAACCTCTATGTGGACTTTGCAGGAAGCTTAGTCTGCAATTCACACTTACAAATGGAGGTACTGAGCAGTGGGATGTTTGACATGGAAATTGCTTGGCTGTGGTATTCTGTTTGTTCTGCATTGTTATCTGATTTGTATTGTTGGCTAACTTAAGGCGACTGTTTCCCCTGTAACGAGGGACTTTCTCTTTGCCAAATCCGCTCTCCCCTAGCGAAGGTTTTTCGAGGAGCGGTGAGATCGGGGCTCCTCGGTAGCCGCCCGGGAAGTCAGTCCCGTCCCCCCCGCACGGTCGCACCCCAGCCCAGCAGGAGCGCTGCTCTGGTTCCGCGGACCTGTTGGTGTAAAGACGCGGGAGCTGCTCTCAATACACCAAGAGAACGGGCTCATGACCGGGCACACGGTCCCGGTGTGCTCGGTAACCAGCTGCTCTGCCCGCGGGACCGGGGATGCCCGGCCGGCCTCGAGGCTGGGGGTCCCGCAGGGCTGGCTGGGATGGGTCCGTGTCAGCGGTCACTGTGCTAAACATCGTCACCTTGACGCCTTCTGCGGGGTTTGCGTGATGTGTGTCATCTGTTCGCCTGCCTGCGTGCTTCTCCGTGCCCACTTGTGTGTGGGAGCAGGCAGGACGTGTAGCAGCCGAATTGCGGCTCTTTCTGTGCACACTGCTCCCTCCTCCGGGAGCAGGCCCCATGCTGGAACCGCAGTTCCAGAGGAGCAGCTCGCTGCCAGCCGTGTGTCCTGGGGGCAGGATCAGGCCCGGAAGGTGCCAGGCTTGCCCTGGCACTGGAGGGAAGTTTGCATGATGTGTATTCCCGAGGCTGCGGTGCATCCTGTCACCCCAGAGCCAGAACTGGAGATTGTCTCGGGAGCTGCGAGCCCGGGGAGGAAGAGCCTTTGTGGTGAATACACATCAACTCCATTAACAATATTTTCGGAATCGGTCAATAACTCACCAAAACGTAACTTAAACACGATGAATTTAGGAGATTAAACAATTTCATTAATATTGAAATGGCCGCTGAGGCTGAGCGCGCGCGCTTGAAATGCAAGCACACGTTTTTCAATATTAACAGAAGTACTTGAAAAGAAGAATAATGTCACCTTCTTAATTCAGCAAAAATAGCCGGGCTGGGGGAGGGAGAGCAGCGGCGGCTCTGTGCAGCGCGGCTGCTGAGAGACGGGCTCTGCGAGAGCCTTGGAGTCCTCTCGGAGTCGAGCAGGGCTCCCTCAAACCTGGCAGCAGCCTCAAAACGCATTTGCACATCGCGACCAGCGCCGACCTCGTGTGTGTTAAACCGTGCTCCCTTCGTCCCAGCCCGGCTGCCCTCGGTCCCATCTAATCCCTCTCTCTCGGGGCAGGATGTCGTTTAGAGAATAATAAGTAAATAATTGTGTTTCTAGGAATCCGAGAAGCCGGCCGGCCCCGCGCTGCCGAGCTGAGGAGCCCTTTGGAGGGGATAGACCTGCCACATGCCACCCTCTGCCCCTTGCAGGGAGGGCCGGCAGCGTTTGTGCTGCTCAGAGCCCGGGACTTGCCTGGCTCAGTTAATCGGCTCCGAGATGCTCCATCCATCTGGGCAGGGCAGGAAGGCAGCTTCCCAAAAAAAATTTTTTTGGGGGGGTGGAGTGGGTAAGAGACGATGAGACGATGGATATTTGTTAGAGGGTAGGAAAGACAATACTCTGAAATGAGGAGGGATTCCTCCCAGCATCCCCTAACACTGGACAGAAAGCTTCTGGTTTGTGTTGAGAACCCCCAAATAAGTGGGTGTGAGGGATACTGCCCTCCCACACCCCCCACACACCCAGCTCCCCCATCCCCAACTTCTAACACCCCCAGTTCAGGTTTTGTCTCTCGGCCCAAGTTCACTCTTGGGATGCCTATCTAAAACACAGCTCAGAAAATCCACACACTGACAAATACTTTTCCTCTTCTCTTTGCCGGTACCTTTTCTTTTCGAAGAAAGAAAATACCAAACCAAACCAGCTGATGCAAAAAGGAATCCTCAAGCTATAAAGTTAAAGGAAAGTCGACTTCCGTTGTCATTTGCTACTCTGAGTGCAAACGAGGTATGGCTGTAAGGCGTCCGATGTTTTTTCCTAATGTGGGGGTTTTTTTCCTTTTTTTTTTTTTTTCCCATTGCAAAGGAATGTGTGGGGTAGGGCAGCTGAAGTCATCCCAGTAACTGATACCCAAAGTTTCATCTCATGCTAAGAAGCAACAGATGATAGACTTGGGCAATATAGGATTTAAAGGTAATTGTAGCATTTCCCTTTTACTTTGAAAGTCAACCCTCCATTAGGGAGGAGGAGAAGGTGAAGTGAATCCAAATCCATTGTGTGGAAAACCAAAACAAACAGACGTTTTTCTGAAGTCTAATTCAAATAAGGAGCTCAGAGGAAGTGTTGGGAAAACTATATAAAATACACATAAGTCAATTATATCAATGTTCAAACCCAATGGAAATCTATTTCATGCAAGAGCCATTCAGCCCTTGCATGGAGCCCATCATGGACCACCTTTCTGCATGGAAGGTTTGCAATAGCCCCCTTTCCCACAAGCAAGACCACACACGTTTACAGATTTGGTAATAATTTATGCTAATTTTCCTCCATAAATCCACAATTCGCCTCAGTGGCAAGCAGGGCTGTTGAGAGAGGAAAAGGAGACAGAAAAGTGACAAATACAATATTGATTTTGAATCCTTGTGGCTGCGAGCAGGTGTGTAGCTTTGCAGAGGGGAGGAGTGGGAGAGGGGCTGTGGGGGGAAGCCAAGAAGTTTTCCAAGGATAAAAAAAATCCACTCTGTGTGAGAGAATACTCACAACCTTGTTAATATTTACAAACCAGTTGGGAGAAAAGAGAAAGGAGGGGGGAAGTACCAGCTTCTTAGGGTTTCCTAGGCTGCGAAACACAATGCCAGTGTCTGAGCAAGCTTCCCCCGTTTTGGAAAGTCAACTGCAGGCTGTTGGTTGTGGCTGCGTTTCGGCTAAGCCTTGCCCTCTTTTTTTTTTTTTTTTTTTTTTTTTAATGGTTCTGCTTCTTCTGCTTCTCGGAGGCTGAGGAGAAGAAAGCCAAGATACTTGGGGTCTCCTGCTTTTCTGTGTGCTTGAACTCCCGGTGCGGTTTCCCGAATAGCTCCGGCCGCTCTGGGAACGGCTGGGCTTTGTCCCACCCCACATTCTTCACCAAATCTGCCACTTTGGCGTGAAACTACTTAGCGCCCTTTCAAAAGGATTTTGTTCCTTTCCCAATGAGCACTAAACAAACTCCCCCTGCCTGTCAAGGCCGGACTGAGAACTGTTCCCCAAACCTGTATTCCCGATAGCTCGGGATGTGCAGCGCGCTTTGTGCCCGGGGGCCCGGGCCGGGCTGCGCCGCTCGGGACCCGGGGCTGGGCAGCGCTCCAGGCCGCCCTGCCCTGCCCTGCCACCACTGCCCGCTCGCTCGCCGCTGCTGTCACCCTTCCGAGAGCCGGCTGCCCGTATGCGCCCTCCTGGGCTGCCCCGTCGGGGGTTTCAAGCGCCGCCAGCCCGAGCCGGCCCTTGGCCCCGCCGGGCGCACCCAGCGCAGAGCGTCCCCCGTGTCCCGAGCTCAGCGCTGTCGGGCCCGGGCCCGGGCCGCGCTCGGAGAGCCCGCGCTGGGACACCCCAACTCCTGAACCCCGAGAGGAGGCTGCTGCTCCCGCTCATGGCTCTGCTCCGGAGCAGCCGGCTCCCGGTTCCCCGGCAGCACCTCAGCCTCCCCTCCCTCCCCACGCCCAGGACTCCCCAGGACGGCTCCGAGGAGTGCCAGGGTCACCCCGGGTGCGTGGGGCCGGCTGGGCACGCAGCGCTGCCCTCTCCGCTCTGCGCGCCCCCGCTGCCGGCCCGGCCCCGCGGGAGCGCGCAGGTGCGCGCAGGGCCGCGGGCTCGGGCGGCGCCGCAGCCGCGGCTCCCCAGCCTTTGGTTAAGTCCTGTGCTGCTAGCGCGGAGTGCGGCTTGAGCCTCGACGTTATTGCCCTGAACGTCTGTCTTTGTGGAAAACTTGCTTTGCCTTCCCGGAGGTGCTGGAGTATTTATCTACACGTTTGGGATTTATTGGTTTGTTTATTTATTTATTTGGAGAAGTAGCAGGGGAGGCCTCGCAAACTTTTTCTTTTTAATCTTCCCTTTTAAACAAATGTCGCATTTCAAGCTGCCCTCTCTTCTCCTTTTCACATTGTAGGAAATATTGAAAATGCCACCTTAGTATTGAAGGGATTAACTTGCTTTTCTCCCAGCCGCTAACTCTGGTGTAAAGGGAGCAGTAGATCAACTGTATAATGTGTGCACTGTTTGGTCATTTGTACAAGCAGAACAAAGGTTGAGCTAAGCCAAATTGCATTGCACTTGTGAACCGAGTCCCAATTTGAAGTATCTTTTACAGCAGGGGGAATGAGAACAATTTCGTGTATGTCTAAAAGGGAATAACAAAGCCAC